ATTTAATCCAATAATTAAATTGGATTAAATGAAAGACAAATTGAAAGTTACTTACATATATTCCAATTGTATGTTAGTATGTTATGAGACAAATGATCTGTGAAAAAAAAATCAAATTCCTTCTTCTCCTCCCAGTGCTCCCAGTTCTAACTAGGAACAACCAATCAGAGCCAGGAGGCGGGCCTCAGCGTTGTCAATCATCCCTCTCTCTCCATTACCTAGCAGAGCCTGTAGTGAATGCTAAAGCTAGTTAGCATGGCCACCGATGGCGGCGGATAAACGGGTTTTCTGTAACGGTAAATTGTTTCTCCACTATTAGCATATTTAGCTGGAAGCACAGGAGATTGGTTGACAGAAGGAAGACCCTCCTCCTCCTGGCTCTGATTGGTTATTTTTGGTCCGGAGTCAGGTATTTTTTCAGACAGTAGAGCTAATTGAGGGAAGATATGGAGGAGATCGATACTTTCACAGACTATCCGTCTCATTTCTTTCTCTCCATAAAACAAATGCTATTTTAAAGGCAAAAAAACTTGCATTAACTGTACAAATTAATATCATAAGACTTCCAATTATGAAACTTTTTACATTGGAAAAATATTTTTTTTAGCAGTTTAACAGCTTGAGCTAGCTTAGCTGTTAAACAGGGTGTTAGCTCCTAATGCTAACACCCTGCTAGAAAACTGAACATGTTGACGATGAAGCTGTGGTTGCCAGTGTTCTCAGATGTGGTTGTCTGTTACTTTTTTTCTTTTTCTTTCTTTAGCTGTGGTTTCTGAGTAAAACGTTGCATGCCACTTTGTTAGATCTGATATAAAGTTTATTTCATTAATATTTTCTGATTAACCGATGAGCAAAATTATCTTCACGATTAGTAAGAATTCAACTAAATAAGCTGACAACATAAATTCAGCACAGATATACTGATTAAAGTCGACTTGAATAAAATGTGTCACAGCCATTGTGCTGATTCAGATCTAACAGTTTGTGTTAGCAGCAGTGCAGCAAAAAGAAATTAGACTTAACCACACAGAACTGAGAAAACAGAAGATATATCGATAACAAAGGAGCAGGAAACTAGCACGGCTGCAACAAAATAAAATTTTTGCATGGTTGCAGCTCTTATCTAACATCAGTGCGGCCAAAGAAGCGTTACATTTAAACATTTTCTGCAAACATGAAAACCACCTGACAACATTTTAAGCGTTCGCTTGTATTCTACTCGTACATCTAAAAAACATAAATAAAAATTAGAAAATTGAGTAAAAGGGTAATATTTCTTACCTGCCATCTTATTAAGTAAAACTAGTCACACAAAGAGTGACATGTTCTGAGCCTTGGTTTTTTGTGATTTTGATGGTTATGGCGTACAGATAGTGAAAAACAAAAATTTTAGTTTCAGTGAATTAGACTGTTGTTCAAAAGGTCATGAATGGAAATGCATGGTATCCCAACCTAATCAGCTGATTAACTCAAAACACCTGCAAAGGTTTTCTGAGCCTTTGAACTACCTCTCACTCTGGATCAGTCGGCTACACAACCAGAACAGTAAGCCACAAAAAAGCTTGGATACACAGAGTTCTATATCCACGCATATTAAAGAGACAATTTTATTATATAAAATTGTCTTTTTTGAGCTTTACATTGTCTTCAATGCTTCAATGACCATAATGTTCCTGTTCTTGATTGGCCAGCAAACTCCCCTGGCATAGAGAATCTATGGATTATTGTCAAGAGGACAATGAAAGACCCAACAAGGCAGATGACCTGAAGGGAGCTGTCAAAGCAACTTGATCTTCCATTGGACCTACACAATCCCACAGGTTGATCGCATCAAGGCCACAGCATAATTCATGCAAAAGGAGCCCCAACCAAATACCGAGCGCATAGAAATTCATGTACTTTTCACAATCCTGACATTTTTGCTAAAAACATTCTTTTTAATTTGGTCTGACGTGATATTCTAATTTTCTGAGACGTTGAATTTTGGGGTTTCTTGACGCACATGCCATAATAATTAAATTTGAACAAAATAAAAGCTTGAAATATTTTATTTCCACGTATCACGAAGCTCTATAAAATGACTGTTTCACTTCTTGAGATGACTTGGAAAAGATATTGCACTTTTACGCAACATTCAAATATGTTTTATGTATTATTATAGTATTGTTGTGAATACTGTCACTTTCCTAAAATAATGACATAAGTGTCTTTTTAAAAAAAAATTTGCAAAAAAAAAAAAAAAACGTTCTGGGAAAAAAGAAGTGATGATATATGAAAGGCATAATATCAACGTAGTTCCGATATTTTACCAGAAGATGGCGCCGTTTCCTTTTACACGGGCAGAGATCTGTTTCCAGCGTTCAGACGCTGGTGGACTCCTCTTTTCTCCCCCCTCCCATCAGAATAGAGAGGGAATGGGACAGACAGTGATAGAGGTGGGCAGAGGTGTGACAGAGTGGACCGACTGAGGCAGAGGCAGGCAGCCAGTTGGGCATTTGCCATTTACTTTCTCTCTTCTTCTATTTTTTCTCTTATTTCCAGAAAGGAGGGAGAGTCTATTGCACCTTTTTGTTTCGTGCGTAAACTGGATAAAGGCTGTTTTTTTTCTTTTCCTCCTCCAAATTCTGCGGGGGGACCTCCAACTCTTTCAGCCTGAGCTGTCCATTTGAGAGGTGGTGGTCTGGGTGGAGTTTTCCTTTCCCCTTGTAAGGTTATTTCTTTAAAAAAAGCATTCAGCAACCATTCCATCCAATCGTCCTGATTCATTTTCTCTCAGTGTTTTGCCGCAGGTGCTGTTGGGGGTGATAACCGTGCCTTCCCGTGTGTTTTCAGCGCATCGGCCCCCCGCGGTGCTTGGATTAAGTCCTACCATGAGACGGCTTTTGGAGACGTGGGTCGCCGTGCTGACAGCTTGCGCGCTGGCCGGACGCGCCTCCGCGGGATACGGGCTGAGTATGTTCGCCGCGCAGTCCTCCCCGCCGGACCCGTGCTACGACGAGAACGGGAACCCGCGGAGGTGCATCCCCGACTTCGTCAACTCCGCTTTCGGGAAGGACGCGCGCGTGTCCAGCACCTGCGGCGCGCCGGCGGCCCGCTACTGCGTGGTGACCGAGAAGGGCGAGGAGCGCACGCGGGACTGCCACACGTGCGACGCCGCGGACCCCAAGAAGTCCCACCCGCCCGCCTACCTGACGGACCTCAACAACCCGCACAACCTGACCTGCTGGCAGTCGGAGAACTACGCGCAGTACCCGCAGAACGTCACCCTGACGCTGTCGCTTGGGAAAAAGTTCGAGGTCACCTACGTGAGCCTGCAGTTCTGCTCGCCCAGACCCGAGTCCATGGCGATCTACAAGTCCATGGACTACGGCAAGTCGTGGGTTCCGTTCCAGTTCTACTCCACGCAGTGCAAGAAGATGTACAACCGGCAGAACAAGGCGACGATCACCAAGCAGAACGAGCAAGAGGCGATCTGCACGGACTCCCACACCGACATGCACCCGCTGACCGGCGGCCTGATCGCCTTCAGCACCCTGGACGGACGGCCGTCGGCGCACGACTTCGACAACTCGCCGGTGCTGCAGGACTGGGTGA